GTAGACAATGAACTTGTCACATGGGGAACAATGTGTGTATCATACAGGTAGACAATGAACTTGTCACATGGGGAACAATGTGTGTATTATACAGGTAGACAATGAACTTGTCACATAGGGGGAACAATGTGTGTAGCATACAGGTAGACAATAAACTTGTCACATGGGGGAACAATGTGTATTATACAGGTAGACAATGAACTTGTCACATGGGGAACAATGTGTATCATATCAGGTAGAGACAATGAACTTGTCACATGGGGAACAATGTGTGTATCATACAGGTAGACAATGAACTTGTCACATGGGGAACAATGTGTGTATCATACAGGTAGACAATGAACTTGTCACATGGGGAACAATGTGTGTATCATACAGGTAGACAATGAACTTGTCACATGGGGAACAATGTGTGTATCATACAGGTAGACAATGAACTTGTCACATAGGGGAACAATGTGTGTATTATACAGGTAGACAATGAACTTGTCACATGGGGAACAATGTGTGTATCATACAGGTAGACAATGAACTTGTCACATGGGGAACAATGTGTGTATCATACAGGTAGACAATGAACTTGTCACATGGGGAACAATGTGTGTATCATACAGGTAGACAATGAACTTGTCACATAGGGGAAGCAATGTGTATTATACAGGTAGACAATGAACTTGTCACACAGGGGAACAATGTGTGTATCATACAGGTAGACAATGAACTTGTCACATGGGGAACAATGTGTGTATTATACAGGTAGACAATGAACTTGTCACATGGGGAACAATGTGTGTATCATACAGGTAGACAATGAACTTGTCACATGGGGAACTTGTATCATACAGGTAGACAATGAACTTGTCACATGGGGAACAATGTGTGTATTATACAGGTAGACAATGAACTTGTCACATGGGGAACAATGTGTATCATACAGGTAGACAATGAACTTGTCACATGGGGGAACAATGTGTATTATACAGGTAGACAATGAACTTGTCACATGGGGAACAATGTGTGTAGCATACAGGTAGACAATGAACTTGTCACATACGGGGGAACAATGTGTGTATCATACAAGTAGACAATGAACTTGTCACATGGGGAACAATGTGTGTATCATACAGGTAGACAATGAACTTGTCACATGGGGAACAATGTGTGTATCATACAGGTAGACAATGAACTTGTCACACAGGGGAACAATGTGTGTATCATACAGGTAGACAATGAACTTGTCACATGGGGAACAATGTGTGCATCATACAGGTAGACAATGAACTTGTCACATGGGGGAACAATGTGTGTATCATACAGGTAGACAATGAACTTGTCACATGGGGAACAATGTGTGTATCATACAGGTAGACAATGAACTTGTCACATGGGGAACAATGTGTGTATCATACAGGTAGACAATGAACTTGTCACATGGGGAACAATGTGTGTATCATACAGGTAGACAATGAACTTGTCACATGGGGAACAATGTGTGTATCATACAGGTAGACAATGAACTTGTCACATGGGGGAACAATGTGTGTATCATACAGGTAGACAATGAACTTGTCACATTGGGGGAACAATGTGTGCATCATACAGGTAGACAATGAACATGTCACATGGGGGAACAATGTGTGTACATACAGGTAGACAATAAGAATATCCCACAATGAGGTGGCTATTGATGTTCCTTCCACAACATAACGTGAGAAAGCACAGGTACCTTGTGCTGCAAATTATCAGGTTTCAATCTCAATCTTCACAGGGTGCCATAAATTCTCTATAATTACAGCATTAACTGGCCTCCAACACGGTAGCCTCCCTACCTGTTTATTAGCAGTAGGAGCTAGCCACACGTTACACCTACACTCATCAGTCCTGGATGTAGGTCAAGGAACATTTTGCTCATTATTTGGAAAAATGAAATTTTGGGAGTATACAATGTGTCTACAGATCTGCCCTATGCCAAGACTGCATCTTCAACAGCTGCGTCCAGATTGTGTTTAGGTTGGTTGGGTTGTTGTTTAACGCCGCACTCAGCAATATTCCAGCTATATGGCAGTGATCTGCAGATAACTGAGTCTGGACCAGACAATCCAGTGATCAATAGCATACACATTGATCTACGAAATTGGGATACGATGACATATGTCAACCAAGTCAACGAGTGATCACCCGATCCCGTTAGTCGCCTCTTACAACGAGCATGGGTTACTGAAGATCAAATCTAACCCTGGATCTTTACGGGTGATTGTGTTAAGAAGTAAGAGAAAGTAATATACAATTATTAGAACTCAGTTATTCGTCCATTGTGGGTATGCAAGAGACTTGGGTACCTTCAGGTTGGGAGAGGGCAGAGTTTGGACTTGAGATGGGTAGGTGACGATCTTTGTAGTAGGGGTGACTATTGAGGGGGAACCACTATTGCGATAGCGATAGCGATACTCTATTGCAACATACTGTTGTGATAGCGGTAGTCTATTGCGACCCACTATTGCAATAGTTTTTTTCTCCTTCCCAAATGAATGTATAGTTTATATGAAATAAGAACAAGTTGAAATAATTTCAGTCTCTTTTAATGAGTGACAAGAAACTTGCAACCCAGATGAAGTAAACAGTTAAAACATAAACTCAGTGAAGCTGCAAGTCTGCACCCAAACATCCTGTATTTTGCACTGCGCATTTATCAACGGAAGTCAATTACTAAACTATCGATAGTCACCCATACTATCGATGCATCGATAGTTTTTCGTTTTTTCTACCATCGGTTAATTGCTATTGGGGACTCAACAATTGCAATCCACAGATAGTTCGATAGTTTGATGCATTGTTACAGCCCTACTTTGTCATCGATAATCTCCAGGTATACGTTCCGATAAATCTCCACTATACCCTGGATGCATCCACGGTTCGAGTTGATGATTTTATTACCTCCATTTGCTGGCTCCGCTATTCTCACAATAGCCAATCAGCCGCCGTTACAACCGAGCTTGCTAATGTCAACAAAGATAGCGGTCGCAGCCGCAAAAGTTTGTTCGTAGTGCAACTCAGATTTGGGGCGGGGAACATACAGACAAATTGACAGGTCTGAAACCTTAAAAAAATATATGCAAGAACTCCTTCTACCTCCTTCAGAGTACCTCTGCAACAATATATTATTGTGTTACCATGGTTAGATAATTTAAAAAGTGAAAGTGAGTTGTGATTGGTACGCTCTTTCTACTTCCCAGCGTCGACATCTGATTGGATAAAAAGCCAACCAAGGGAGGTAATAAAATCATCGGCTCGAGCCGTAGATGCATCCAGGATATAGAGGAGATTTATCAGAACGTATACCCTGGAGATTATCGAGGATGTACTTTATAGGATTGACAGGAATGTGGTTGGAATACCAGGTTTGAGAATGTTAGGGTGGAGGGCAGATTTTGGAGTAGTGGTTGGTCGGTGGCTACCTGGGGTAGGAATGTCTCCGAATCCAACCTTTGATATTCACTGTGACTTTCAGAAACAAAATCTTGCCGGTTATCTTCTACAGATATCTGAACTTTTGACCTCTTAACCTGAAATAACATCATTCGTTCCCAACCTTCACGTGACAGCGCCTTGTTCTCTCTGTTCACAAGCACATTATGGGTAATCACCTGTTACATGAGCCTCTAATAACCCCACCACAGCACCTGACAGAACAAGCATAGCCCACGTGTGAGGGGCAATCACTGCGAGACTGTGGGCACAATGAGACACAATGAGACAGCTTGCATGTGTGTCTGCACTTTGCCATGGTGGAGGTAAACAGACATGGTCAACTTAAACTTGCTGCTCTTGACAACACCTGGATACTGTTTTTGCTGTGTGAGTGAGTGAGTGAGTGAGTGGGTGAGTGAGTGAGTGAGTGGGTGGGTGGGTGGGTTTTGAGTGAGTGAGTGAGTGAGTGTATCATTACCATTTTTCCAACAGCTAAATGTCTTTTATCATTTCATGATAGAGATACTAATTATCTTCATTATGTCTTTGCATACCCTTTCATTATACCGAATGAAGTTAACTGACAATCTTTCACCAATCATGCATCATCATCATCATCCATTACCCTCAACACTCAAATGGACATCCTATACAATGAATCTTCCTATTATGACAGTACTCCACAGTCAACTCACCTTGAGGTCTCTGTGTACAATCCTCCTATTATGACAGTACTCCACAGTCAACTCACCTTGAGGTCTCCGTGTACAATCCACCTATTATGACAGTACTCCACAGTCAACTCACCTTGAGGTCTCCGTGTACAATCCTATTACAACAGTACTCCACAGTCAACTCACCTTGAGGTCTCCGTGTACAATCCTCCTATTACAACAGTACTCCACAGTCAACTCACCTTGAGGTCTCTGTGTACAATCCTCCTATTACAACAGTACTCCACAGTCAACTCACCTTGAGGTCTCTGTGTACAATCCTCCTATTACAACAGTACTCCACAGTCAACTCACCTTGAGGTCTCTGTGTACAATCCTCCTATTACAACAGTACTCCAAAGTCAACTCACCTTGAGGTCTCTGTGTACAATCAACCTATTACAACAGTACTCCACAGTCAACTCACCTTGAGGTCTCTGTGTACAATCAACCTATTACAACAGTACTCCACATTCAACTCACCTTGCGGTCTCTGTGTACAATCCACCTATTACAACAGTACTCCACAGTCAACTCACCTTGAGGTCTCCGTGTACAATCCACCTATTATGACAGTACTCCACAGTCAACTCACCTTGAGGTCTCTGTGTACAATCCTCCTATTATGACAGTACTCCACAGTCAACTCACCTTGAGGTCTCTGTGTACAATCCTCCTATTATGACAGTACTCCACAGTCAACTCACCTTGAGGTCTCCATGTACAATCCTCCTATTATGACAGTACTCCACAGTCAACTCACCTTGAGGTCTCTGTGTACAATCCTCCTGTTATGACAGTACTCCACAGTCAACTCACCTTGAGGTCTCTGTGTACAATCCTCCTATTATGACAGTACTCCACAGCTGAGATAATTTGCCAAAATTTGGTTCGTGCTTCAGGCTCCGCCATTCTACCATGTTGGGCGATGTAATCTGGAAAACACAACAGAATCTTCAGGGTCCAAGAAACAGACATCACTAGAGGTATCGTAGAGCTAAAAAATCCACAACTGTTGAGAAAGTGGGTAGGACCCCACTGCCCCTCTGTTGAGAAAGTAGGCCCCACTGCCCCTCTGTTGAGAAAGTGTAGGCTACCCCACCACCGCCCCTCTGTTGAGAAAGTGAGTAGGCTACCCCACGCGTAGGCTACCCTTGTTGAGAAAGTGAGTAGGCTACCCCCCGCCACTCTGTTGAGAAAGTGAGTAGGCTACCCCACCGCCCCTCTGTTGAGAAAGTGAGTAGGCTACCCCACCGCCCCTTTGTTGAGAAAGTGGGTAGGCTACCCCACCGCCCCTCTGTTGAGAAAGTGAGTAGGCTACCCCAACGACCCTCTGTTGAGAAAGTAAGTAGGCTACCCCACCGTACCCTGTTGAGAAAGTGATTCGGCTACCCCACAGCCCCTCAGTTGAGAGGGTGAGTAGGCTACCCCACCCCGCCTCTCTTTGAGAAAGTGAGTAGGCTACCCCCCACCCTCTGTTGAGAAAGTAAATAGGTTACCCCCACGGCCCTCTGTTGAGAAAGTGGGTAGGCTACCCCACCGCCCCTCTGTTGAGAAAGATAACCACAACAGATAAAGAAAATCCCATGGAATTTCCATACCACTAAGACATCAGTTGACACTGTGCTTTTTACATATAACATAGAATGTAGACAACTTTATGGCATAGTGAGTGAGTGAGTGAGTGAGTATGGCTTTATGCCATTTCTAGAATTATTCCAGCAATATCACGGCGAGGGACACCAGAAATGGGCATCACACATTGAACCCGTGTAGAGAATAGAACCCGGATCTTTGGCATGGAGAGCGAACACTTTAACCACTAGTCTACCTCTTCGTCCATGACATAGAGACAACAAAATGGGCTACAAGCAAAACTACAGAACATAAACTCTGCCAAAAAAGAAACACAAAATAGAAAAACTGGAATTATCTCTATAGAGTTTTGCCGATATTCATAGACAATGGATACCAAATATGAATTCCCTATGTCTGCATAACTCAAGAGTGATCTAGGCAGGTGGAATAAAGCATGTCCAAAAAATACTGAAAAAGTGGGGGAACGCAAAAACATGGAGTATCATTGAAACATGAAATTGTTGGTCTATGAAAAAGATGTGTTTTCACAGTCTGTCATCACAACTGTACAGTAAGTGAAAACATGCCATGACCGACAGAAGTTCATCACAACAATGTCATCGACTGACTACAGACATGACACTCAGCTTCGGTCCTAGCCGAGCCTTTCACAAAGCAATTACAAGACTATGGAGGGGCGGTGGAGTTGCCTAATGGTTAAGGCATTGGCTCATCATGCTGAAGACTTGGGTTTGACTCCCCACATGGACTCTTGCTAAAGGTGGTGTAAAACCAAACTCACTACAAGACTATGGACTGACTGACTGAGTTTGGTTTTACGCTGATTTTAGCAATATTCCAGCAACATCACGGCGGGGGACACCAGAAATGGGCTTCACACATTGTGCCCATGTGGGGATTCGAACCCGGGTCTTCGGTGTGACGAGCCAACGCTTTAGCCATTAGGCTACCCCACCACCCCACAAGACTATGGAACCATTATCAGGCTCAGGGGTCTACAAGTGACCTATCCAGATCAGTGGGCTACGTGTCTCACCTGTTATGGAACAGAAACGACAACATGGAACATAGATCATCAAAAATATTGATAACACCATGGAATATTGATAACACCATAGAATATAGACAACACCTTGGAACATTGATAACACCATAGAATATAGACAACACCTTGGAGCATTGATAACACCATAGAATATATAGACAACACCTTGGAACATAACACCATAGAACATAAGATAACACCATAGAATATAGACAACACCTTGGAACATTGATAACACCATAGAATATAGACAACACCTTGGAGCATTGATAACACCATAGAATATAGACAACACCTTGGAACATTGATAACACCATAGAATATAGACAACACCTTGGAGCATTGATAACACCATAGAATATAGACAACACCTTGGAACATTGATAACACCATAGAATATAGACAACACCTTGGAGCATTGATAACACCATAGAATATAGACAACACCTTGGAGCATTGATAACACCATAGAATATAGACAACACCTTGGAGCATTGATAACACCATAGAATATAGACAACACCTTGGGCAACATTGATAACACCATAGAATATAGACAACACCTTGGAGCATAACACCATAGTGAGCAGATAACACCATAGAATATAGACAACACCTTGGAGCATTGATAACACCATAGAATATAGACAACACCTTGGAGCATTGATAACACCATAGAATATAGACAACACCTTGGAGCATTGATAACACCATAGAATATAGACAACACCTTGGAGCATTGATAACACCATAGAATATAGACAACACCTTGGAGCATTGATAACACCATAGAATATAGACAACACCTTGGAGCATTGATAACACCATAGAATATAGACAACACCTTGGAGCATTGATAACACCATAGAATATAGACAACACCTTGGAGCATTGATAACACCATAGAATATAGACAACACCTTGGAGCATTGATAACACCATAGAATATAGACAACACCTTGGAGCATTGATAACACCATAGAATATAGACAACACCTTGGAACATTGATAACAGTGAGTTTAGTTTTACGCCGATTTTAGCAATATTCCAGCAATATCACGGTGGGGACACCAGAAATGGGCTTCACACATTGTGCCCATGTGGGAAATCGAATCCGGGTCTTCAGCGTGACGAGCCAACGCTTTAACCTCTAGACTACCCCACTGCCCCACATTGATAACACCTGTGATTTGTAGATCATCTGAGAATATAGATAACACTAGAGAATTGTAGATCATCAGAGAATATAGATAACACTAGAGAATTCTAGATCATCAGAGAATATAGATAACACTAGAGAATTCTAGATCATCAGAGAATATAGATAACACTACAGAATTCTAGATCATCAGAGAATATAGATAACACTAGAGAATTCTAGATCATCACAGAATATAGATAACACTAGAGAATTCTAGATCATCACAGAATATAGATAACACTAGTGAATATTGGTAGCACCACAGAACAAGTGAAGCATTAGTTTTATGTTAAATTCCATCAGGTGCCATGCAGCAGGTTGAAGTGACTCTTGGAGTGCACCATTCCTGGTAGTGTGGCACTGAGAATAACAACAGAAGAATGTGGTCCAGCCAGCATTGATCCCTGCATTACAGCCTACCTTCGTCATACTCGCAGCAGGAGTCAGCAATTGATCACAAATCTCATCCTTAATATGTCTTTAGAATTTTCCACATTGGCCCAAGATGCTTGTTTCTTGTTGCTATGACAACAGACAAGTACCGCCCAGGTGCTGACGCAAGTTTGTGATGTTGTAAGCCTGTCTGTTGTACAGGAGAGGGGTTTGTTTGCATAGACTTTTACTGGGGAGGATGTGTCCAGCCCCATAACACAGCAGGAGGTGAGGAAGAGTGTGGGGGGAGGAGAGAGAGAAGAGAGAGAGAGAGAGAGAGAGAGAGAGAGAGAGAGAGAGAGAGAGAGAGAGAGAGGAGAGAGAGAGAGTGTGGGTGTGCATGCGCACACAAGTGAGGAGAATATCTCTAGGTATTGACAAGTGTGAACACAGGTGGTGGGATGTGCACCTCAACACCTCTAGGTATTGACAAGTGAGGTGTCTGAACACAGGTGTCTGACCACAGGTGGTGGGATGTGCTCTTTAACCCCTCTAGGTATAATCCACCATGGATGAAGAGCTAACATACATTAAGGGAAAGGTATCAAATTAATCTCATCACACACCTACAACCCTGCCCTTCTTTCAACCTCCCCTTCCTATTCCGCCTCCCTCCTCCACAATCCAGCCATCACATTCCCAGCCCATCTGTGCACCTTTCCCGACAGGATTACATCACATTGTTCTGTGGGTCACTCACATCCAGGGTTCCTGGACTCTCCCCAAATATCAAGGTCTCCCACAATCAGCAGGAGGCGGCATGTACATCTATGTGTGCCATGGCCAGTTAACTCTTCAAATGTCAGTCGGCAAACCATACTGGAACAATACACGTACACCTGAAGTTGGCACTCGTAGGGCTGATGTCTCATCAACACACCTGTACATGAACAGGATCCTGAGAGAGGCTACATCACCCACAGTACACCTGAGTACACCTGAAGTACACCTGAAGTCTCATCAACACACCTATATATGATCAGGATCCTGAGAGAGACTACATCACCCACAGTACACCTGGAGTACACCTGAAGTACACCTGAAGTCTCATCAACACACCTATATATGATCAGGATCCTGAGAGAGACTACATCACCACATCACCCACAGTACACCTGAAGTACACCTGAAGTACACCTGAAGTCTCATCAACACACCTATATATGATCAGGATCCTGAGAGATCACTACATCACCTGAGTACACTGAAGTACACCTGAAGTGATCAGGATCCTGAGAGAGACTACATCACCCACAGTACACCTGAAGTACACCTGAAGTACACCTGAAGTCTCATCAACACACCTATATATGATCAGGATCCTGAGAGAGACTACATCACCCACAGTACACCTGGAGTACACCTGAAGTACACCTGAAGTCTCATCAACACACCTATATATGATCAGGATCCTGAGAGAGACTACATCACCCACTGAGAGAGACTACATCACCCACAGTAGGACTGAGAGAGACTACATCACCCACAGTACACCTGGAGTACACCTGAAGTACACCTGAAGTCTCATCAACACACCTATATATGATCAGGATCCTGAGAGAGACTACATCACCCACAGTACACCTGGAGTACACCTGAAGTACACCTGAAGTCTCATCAACACACCTATATATGATCAGGATCCTGAGAGAGACTA